TATATATATATATATATATATATATATATGTATATGTATATATATATATATATGTATATATATATATATGTATATATATATATATGTGTATGTATGTATGTATGTATGTATGTATATATGTGTGTGTGTGTGTGTATGTGTGTACTAAAATAAACTACTACTTCCTACTTCTACTACTATTATACTTTGCAATTTTTCACTCATTGCGGGGTTTCAAGGTATGGATCCCCAGCAATAAATGAGACTGCTATACAACTGATTTTTAAAAAAATATTCTTTAATTGAAAATTTGTTAAACCGTGACATCCACAATTTAAAGCTAAGATCTACCACATCAAACTGTGGCCTTGCTACTTCTGTACTCCCATGAAACTTTGTTGCAAAGTTTGAATATATCTACCATTTACTCACTTTATACTTCAAAACAGTTTGTTCAGATTTCGGCAGAGCTGTGGAAAAGTTGAGCATCTCTGCACAGCATGGTGGGCATAAGCTGTACACTAATCTTTAAATTGAAAAACAGCAGGTCCACAGTTTTAGCAGGATTACTTTTCCGTATGTCAGACTGAGGCGTTCTTCCCTGAGGAAGATGTGACACAGAGTGGTGAACACATTAATAGATTGCATCAGTTTGTGCCTAATAAAATAAGAGTACAGCAAATTAACAGTAAAGATGGACTGAAACAATGATTTCTTTGTGTCTTTGTCTTTTACAGTGAAGACGGACCAGATCCAGACCATCAAACGAGAACTCACTCAGATTAAAATGAAGATCGACTCCTTACTGGGACGTCTGGAGAAGATTGAGAAGCAGCAAAGAGCTGAATCTGGTGAGAAACAGAAAGGCACACATAAGCCATAAGTCTTTGTGACACCATTAGAGATAAACGCGTCAGAGCTCTGTCATCCCAGCAGACAGGTTGTCAGCACCACACAAACTCGGTTTATGTGACAACTTTATAGACACCCGATACTGTAGGAGAACCTCAAAACAGAACACTGAAGGTCATTCAGGCGGAGCACTGAAAATTACAAATCACACTATTTTCCATCAAGGTTGCTGCTTTTAGCAGCTGAAAAAGTTTGTGAACAAAGAGGAAATGCCTGGGTCATAAATATGTGTAGCTGATAAGGCAAAGGGACATATAAGATATAAAGTATAGGCAGTGATTATCAAAATATGACAGGAACTGAGGCAAATACTAACACAGGAGCATAACACATACAACTACAACTGGAGAACTAGGACTAAATCAGACATGCACCCAATCATTAGGCAGAAAGGAACGAAGAAACTACGACATCAAACTCTACGGATCACAACTATCAGAAAATGAAGTATTCAATACAGAGGCTACAGTCGGAGATGACATCAAAATCAATATTTTCTTTATTAGTGAAAGATTTCCAGTTCTAATTCTGGCATTTAGAGTTACAAATTAAAAAAAATAAAACTATTGGAAACTGTTGTGTTGTAATTGTGTTATATCAAGTAATGTGTAAAAATGGATCAATATGTTCAACAACACAATACATCTAAAGTGGCATTATTTGCTAGTGGAGAAAGGTTTTTGATGTTTATAGACAGGATTGGAGAAAGATTTACCAGTGGAAGCATCCAACTTTTCAAATGATAATTTTATCTAAAAGGTACATTTTGTCACACATAAACTAAAATTATAAAACACTGCAAAATTACATATCACAGACATGAATGAATTAACTTTTTTTTAAAGGAACAATGTACAACTCAAACATAAATGGCACCATTTGACACGCTATACCAGATTATAGCACAAGCTATTTCCCATCTGCAGTCCCTTGACAAGTTTTAAAAAATGGATATACAATTCATGTACACATGCAAGCATTTATAAACTTGTGCATTAAACCTTTATTGAGTTTATCAAAAACTTCTCACAAAACAGAAATTAAGTTTCCAAGACTGAAATCCCACAGATATAAAAGTACATGACAGATGTACTGTACTTATTAGGATGTGAATTTCGTGTTTGTTTGTTTTGGGGTTTTTTTTTTTGGGGGGGGGGTATTATTTATCAATAAAGTGCTATTAGACAAACTTATTGTATATTCTGTCTAAGCATATTGAAAATATTTGTTCAGACTATTTAAAATTTTTAATTTGAATCTTTATCCTTGTATGACTGGTGTTTCAGTCCAGACCTCCTTGCCCACTTTCATTGTCTGTTCCTGTGATTGCTTGACAGAACAAAAGATTCATACAGTACCACTCCAGGTCATCTTTGAAAATGAAAATTTGTTCTCAGCTGTCTAACCTAGTTAAATAAAGGTCAAATAAAAAATAAAAAATTGCACAATGTCTTTCCAGAAGAGAGGACACAATTATAACTGCAGAAGGGGGACCTGCTGTTGGTGCGGTTGTCATGTGTGGCTAAATACTTTTATCCACACAGTGCTGTAGACAGATACTGGGTTATTTGTGCCATCTTGAGCTTTATACGTGCATAATAAATGTGCCAAAGAGGACAGGAAAATTGAAATCCTAACCTGAATGCAAATGCACACTTCTACAGAAACTGTTCTTTTTTTCAGTTGGCATACTGTATGTACTGTACATTTATACTTGCTAACTATGCTCAGTCTAATCTGCTTCCTTTTTGACCCAAAGACAAATTATTTGTTGGTTTTTACAAACATTTGTTCTTCAAGCTTGCTCATCAAAAGCAACTTCTTAGCAACCGTTGCCATCTTCCAGTGGTGCCAAAACGTGTCTAATTTCTTTAAATGTTGGACTAAATGCCACAGTGGAAACAACAAAGTGATGCTAGGAGTGAAAAACAAAGCTACTATAGTATATCCGGGCCTCTGCTATAGTTTGTTGTATTGCTTTATAATACTGTCTCAATGTAACTGCTTTTACTTCACTTGAATATAAGAAGATTTTGTGACTTTGTGAACCAAAGAAATCTCATCCTCTTTGCCCTTTTTTTTTGTTTCAGAGGCTCAAAGGAAATACGAGGACAACTGTGACTCCCTGCACGAGGAGTCTGTGTCAGAAATGGCAGAAAACTCTGGCGAGGAGGCCGGTGAGGGTGCGCTGGATGTAGAAGCAGGAGAGATGACCGACGGAGGCGAAGACGAGTATGAGGAGGGCAGTCACCATCTGGTAAGGGAAAAGTTTGACAGGGCAGAAGCAAAGCGCTTTGAGAGATCTCAAGCAGGCGCAGTGTTTGCTGTCTGAAAGCTAATTTTGCAGAATTATTCATGGCCGCAGTTCTGACAGATCGGGGCTTCACACGAGTAAATGAGAGCGCCTGAACTGACAGTTTCTCCCAGTCCACAGTGGCTGAAACAGTGGAAGAAGAGCCTACACACATACTTACAGTAATTAAAGCAGTGAGCTTGAGGCAAATAGGAGAATAATAAAGTGTAGCTCTGCCATGAACTACATTAACAATGAAGTGGTGGATGTACAGTTACATGGTACAGAAGAGGCTTTCTTGCACAAGGTATGTGAAGAAGTAGTGAAGAAACTCATCAGGACAAGTTTGACTAATTAGTTATTTGTACACCTTTAAGAAACTAAAAGTTTTGATATATATTTTTTTAATCACATCAAGTAAGCATTTTTTTTTCATTTAACATTTATTTATACAGGTTAGTCTCATTGAGCCCCAAGGACTCATCTACAAGAGGGACCTGTTCCTGACAGAACATAAAAATTACAGACAATTAACAATAATAACAATAAACTACAGTAAAAATGCAGTTAAAATGAAAGTAGTGTTATAAAACAATAAATCAGGATGCTGTAAAATAAGTTAATACAGTAGTCCCTCGCTACTTTGCGGTTCTTTTTTCGCAGATTTGCTCTATCGCTGTTTTTCAAAATAAGAGTGGACATGACACACAATTGGCTGATTGATGGATAAGCATGCACGATCGGCATGGAATTTTTATTTAAAATAAATTATTGGAAATTATTTAGCACATATTGCACATTTTTGCAGCCCAGAGCTGCAAAAAAAGCTTCTTCCTTCAACTTTATGCAGCCCTTACTGCTTCAGGATAAACTTCCTGCTGCAGTTAAGCAGCTGATCAGATGTTCAGCATGCAGAGTGGAGAAGTGGGCGTGGCCAAGAGTGCTTGCAGGTGGCAAAGAGCAGAGGAGACAGGGAGCTGAAATCATGACATTTTGTGCTCTTTTAGCGCATTTAGAGTTTAGAAACATTGTTTAGAATATTGCAAGAGTGTGGGAAGGGTTTAGAACGCCTTTATATATATACAGACTGTATGTATACATGTATATATGTATATATATATATATATATTGTGTGTGTGTGTGTGTGTGTGTGTGTGTGTAATAAAATAAACTACTACTTACTACTTGTACTACTATTCCTACTTCGCGGTTTTTCACTTAACGCGAGTCGTCAGGATACGGAGCCCCCGCCATAAACGAGGGACTACTGTATACCAAAAACAAGAACATACTTGCTAGATACATATGCAGATTACCCTATCACTTGTGTGTTAGTGTTAGTCAAGACTAACACTAACAAAAACCCTAATGAATCCTTATTGAGGAGTGATAGGGTAATCTGCATATGTATCTACCATATTTTTCAGACTATAAGTGGCTCTTTTTTTTCAGTTTGGCCAGTCCTGCATCATATAGTCTGAAGCGACTTATTTACGTTTTTTTTCCCTATTCTTGACGCAATTTTTGACTGACACGTTAAATGTCCATTCAAACAGACATGAACCAAAGAGTAAACATTACCATTTGCAGCCACGAGAGGGCCCTCTAGGCTTTTGACAATGTTGTTCCTCTTCTGCTACCCCACGACTTCCTCCGGAGTTGGCGGAGTTGTTAAGAAGCGACACCAAGGATGGTAATTTGCTTGTCGGACTCGTTGGCTTGTTATGTTAATTGAGCCTGTTCTGGATCCCAGGTATGTTCTGTGTGCACACACCGCACGCATATATATAACCGTCGGGAGTGCAAGTCCATGGGGGCGGGCACACAACCTGTATGTCTGCTCTGACAGACACAGACTCAGAAAAGGAAGGGAGGGGGCCGGGGGGGTGGAGGGTGTCTGTCTTTCCCCACTGTTACAGTGCAGCTTCAATGAGACTGAGCAAATGCAACTTGTTTTTGTAAAATAATAAAGCGCGACTCAAACTGAGCCTTTAGTCCAGTCCCTCGGCGACCACTGAGCAGGCCAGGCCACCAGGAAATGTCTCAGCGATGCTGATGGACTGTCAGCCCTTGTGTGTTATTTCAGGTTAAATGTCTGTTCTTGCACTTTGTGAAATACACTTCTAAATAAATGCAACTTATATTCCAAAGCAATTTATATGTTTTTTTCTTCTTCATGAGGCATTTTTTGACTAATATGACCTATACTCCAGAGCGACGTATAATCCGGAAAATACAGTAGCTTACCTCAACTTTACAGCTCAAACCCCACACTCTCGTCTTTGGTTACAAAACAAAGTCCAGTTGGTTTTGTCTTGAAATTTTTGAAAAAAACTATTGTATTTTTTTAATTATTATTTGAAGAAAAGTACATATTTAGTTAAGTTTGAGCCATAAACTTTTTCATTATTAACAATTTTCCATGTCAGATAAAGTAAAAAACCTGTTGAATCTCAAGTGCAGAATAAAGAAAATTAATCGAGCCATCTTTTCAGCTCTAATTCGAAACAGAAGCAGTTGTCATCAGTCTTTCCTCTAATATGATTGTCCTCTCAAAGCTTATATCGATTGTATTCAGCAAGCCATTTGATCTCAGTGAGCTTTGGCTTTGGCGCTCATTTATCACACCAGTGATATGAACAAATAAAAAAAAATAAAAAATAGACTTTAGCTACAAAAACAGATTCCCTGTCTGCTGAAGGTTCTCCTGGCTAAAACAAACATGATTTAATTTTTCTTCATGTGCTTTGAAGGTTGAAAGCTGAATGCCAGTGTTGCTTTCAAGCTACACTTTAATTGTGGTCTTTTTTAACACTGGCTGCTGTTGCAACATAAAATTATATTTTAGTTTAATAACAGTAATTTGCATGCTGGCGCTTTTAAAACACCCTCACTGTTTCATATTGTGCAGCAGTCATAACATATTACACATTTGAAAAATTAAAAACCTTCTAAAGCCATGTTTTTCTCCTCTTTTACATCTTACAGATCTCACATTTGTATCAACATCAAAGCACTTATCCTTGGTTTAATCTGTGTTGCTATGCTTTTAGATGTCTTTTTTTAATCGCACATTTATTAGCCATAAACCGTTGAGCACGACCTTGATGAAAGCTTTGCATTCTCGCTTGCTTTTCAACGACACGCTGGAGGAGATTTATTTGCTCGCAGAAGGTCGTGTTGATCCCATTTTATCCACAGACTTCTTTGTAGTCAGACATGGCCGCTCTGGTTGAGCATATAGCATAAGTGACCTTTACAACAAAATATTTTACAACCTGTGAGCTCAGTTCCTTCCTCCGTGTTCTCTTTTTCAGATAGAGAACCATGTATCGGATATCGACAACTGAGATAAGGTAAGAACTTTGGATTTCAGTCTTGTGTGTCCATTTCAACAGCTACAATATTGCTTTTCCACTGTATCCTCTTTAAACAGTCGTACATCTACTTCCCATTAAAACATATAGCTACTGAACTGTGTCGTAAACATCTGTTAATCATCTCAGAAGTCATAAGCTTCCTGACATTTAGAAGACCAGCTTCACTGAAGGGCAGCTAATACTAAGTTCAGCACAGGCAGCATTAATGGTGTTCCAATGGGCCAGAACTGCCCGTAAACAACATTCATTTAATGGAATTGTGTGGAAGGATGGACTGAATGGTCAAAAAAGGTAGAGTTTCCAGCTTCTCTCCTCCGAGGGTGTGGGTAATGATGCAGCACTGACATCATCTGGCTTGGAAGTGGCATCCATCTTTTTACTTCCGATCCGATCCCGATACCTAAATCTGGATATCGGCCGATACTGATCCAGTTCCGATATCATAATCATAATTGATTTTATATGAGGCTGTCGTAATTTCCTCTCAAGTACAATTTGAACAAATCTATGCATGCATGTCCAAAAAGGCAACTTGAGGCAAGTTTTATTAATGTTGGATAAGTTTCAAAGTTAGAATTAAATTCTGCAAACACAAAATGTGTTGTTGTTGTTTTTTTTATTCCTAGCTTTAAAGTGGATATTAAAGTGATTAATTTAAGTGATTGTTTATTTAAAGTTATTTTATTATTTTTTTAAATAAGCGGGAGATATAAGAATTTTCTTCTTTCTGCACTCTTTTCATTCAATGTTTTGTTCTTGATGAATTTGTTTTGTTTATTTTGTCTCTTTTAAATGAATGAATAAATGAATTAGATAAAATTAAAAAATTAAATGGCTTTAAACACCTGCTATATTCATGGCATAAACCAGTGCTTCTCAATTATTTTCTCTCCCCAGGAAGAAGTAAACATTTCGCCTCCGTGGCGACTGTAAATAGTATGTCTATAAAATTGTTATAAGTACACCTCTACCTAACATTGTGTCCTTATTAACATTAAAGGAAAAAAAGAACATAGATCAACTTACAAGGAATAATTAACATTGCTTTTTTAGTCTGTATCAATTTGCCTGAAAAGAATATATATATTTTTTTTTTTAAACTGTAAACATTTTGTACCATTTGATACTGAAAAATAAAATAAAATATAATCAATAAATAATAATAAATTCAAATTGATCAGCAACATTTTAACTCAGGAGTGTTATATAAAACACTTTGACCTACAAAATAAAAATGAATAAAACAATTTATGCTGATTTTTTAATAATCAAAATGAGGAAGTCGGGATCAATGAGCACATTCATCGATAAAACAACAACAAAAAATTGTCAGCGCGAAAGGAAAGAGGGGGCAGGTAAGCCTCTCGCTTTGAGTTACTCTTTGTCGCCTGCATGCTGTGAGTGACAAGCGTCCAGAGCATCAAAAAACAGCAGCTTAACTGAGGAGGTGAATTAATTTTGTTATCAAGAATCAAGTCCTAACATTTATTTAACATTACTTCTGTAAATTGTGCTTTGCCAAACTCATCGATAAAACTAAAACATTTAGTCAACGCAAAAGAGGAAAGAGGGGGCAGGTGTCGCTCTCGCTTGAGTTTTTACTCTTTGTTGCATGCGCGCTGTGAGTGACGTCCAGAGCGTGTGGACATAAAAGCAGCAGCGGAGGACGGAGGAGGTGACGTTCGAGTTTATTTATTGCGTCAGCAGCAGAGGGGAGAGACACAGTTCATGCATGGCTCCCAAAATGACAAGGCAGCCATATTTGTTAATAACATAGTAGGAACGCACGCGACAAAGTGAGAATGGTGAAAGAAAGAAAAAAAAACTACTCCCTGTGGCAAAAAAAGCATGTTTTCTAGGGTCACATGCGCCCCCCCGACTTTGCCTTGAGAAGGACTGGCATAAACCAACACAGACATGTTTTCTTAGTATTTTACATCGCTTTATAATGTAACTGTTTTTGTTTCTTTTATATATATATATATATATATATATATATATATATATATATATATATATAT